TGGGCAGCAGTCCCAGACCACGAGCCTGTTCAACAAACCCTTTGGCCAGGCCACCACCACGCAGAACACCGGCTTCTCCTTCGGGGGCACCAGCACCCTGGGCCAGCCCAACACCAACACCATGGTAAGAGGGGCTGCAGCTGCTCCTGCTGGGCACGGGGGCTGCAGCATTGGGGTGTGCCTCACATTCCAGTGCCATGGGGTAAAGGCAGGGTGCCAAGCTCTGGAGGCTGCGGGGCAGTGAGGAGCCTCCTGGCAGTCAGCTTTGTTCTGACAATTGGAGAACAGCCAGCTGTTCACAAATCCTGTACCCACTCACCTCCTCGAGCAGCTGCTGTCTAGCAACTCCTGTGCTTCTGATCATTTTCACACAGATAATGTCGTTCCATTGTCAACCTTCTTTGGGAATTCAATCTTGGGCTTTCTGGTGATAAAGGAGCAACATTTGGGGGCTTTTGTGTCAGAAAGATTCTATGTAGTTGTAACTTGTGTGACTAGAGGCTTTGGCTCCAGATATCCTGTGTTCTTTGTGAATTTGTTGTGACTTCTCATAGAAAACCCTGTGAAATGTTTCTTTTCCATCTCCCTTGCTCAAAGCGATGAGGAAATTCCAATATCCTTTAAGTCTTGTAGCATAAATTTTTGGGGTTTTTCAATTTCCTTTTAGTAACTAATTTTTTGGAGGAGGACTAAAGCTTCTGGAATGCTCTTCACCTGTCCTGTTCCCCCAGCACGAGGGCAAATGCAGCATTGTTTTATTGCCTGATTCTGTATGTTGGATCTGTCGTTGTCAGTGCTGGACTTGGAAAAGCCTGGGAGCGTTACCTTAACCTGGTTCCTTTTTGTAGGGTCTCTTTGGGGTCACCCAGCCCTCGCAGCCTGGAGGCCTTTTTGGGACAGCTGCCAATACAAATGCTGGGACTGGATTTGGAACGGGAACTGGCCTTTTTGGACAAGCCAACACGGGATTTGGTGTTGGTGGTTCGGTATGTCTGTGCCTCTGTAACAAAGAGAGAAAACCAAGCAGAGCCCTGTTCTGGGGTGCTGACTGCACAGAAGTTGTGTCAGCTTAGGAGTTAGGATGTCTGAGATACAAAAGTCAGGTGGTTTGCTGGAAACTGGAGGATAAACAGGTGTAGTAGAGCCATTTTTTTAACAAGTGATGTGTGGAGTGATAAAAGCAGCAGGAGATACTGAGGTTCTCAGTGACTGGGGTGCCTCAGCATAGGGTTGTAAGTTGTGATGGACCAGAACCAACCTTGGTTTTTGATACTCAGTCATTTTGGTTCTGGTGGAGCAAAACTCACAGGATCACTGAGATTGGAAAAGTCCCTTTAGCCCCTCGGGTCTGACCCTAGCAGCTGCTTTTGGGGATCTTGCAGGTGGCTTGGGATAACCCCACTCACGGGAGGGTGGGCTGGGGGGCTCAGCTGTGCTTGCCTTTAGTTCTGCTTCCCTGCCTGCAGCCAGACACCCATACAATTCCTGTGGTGTCAGCTTCCAGGTTTCCACATTGCTGTTGTTTTCCTTTCAGACCCTGTTTGGGAACAAGCCTGCTGGATTTGGAGCCACCACGACCAGCGCTCCCTCGTTCGGTACCACCACGGGCGGGGGCCTCTTCGGTAACAAACCTGCTCTGAGTTTGGGAGCCCTGCAAACCCTTCCAGTCTGGAGACAGGGGAAAAAATGTGGCTTCAGTCATTTAAATCTGTGCTGTGTGTACCACACGCTGCAGAGGGCACATGCTGGGGACTGTAGTGTTGGAATTGTCAGGTGAACGATGCCCTGGCACAGTGCTGGGTGCTGGGTTGTGCCTTTCTCTTGGTGGGGCTCCCTGACTCGGGAAGTAGATGGTCAGATGTCACTGTTTTGGTGAATCCTCAAGGGAATTTTCAGCCTGGGTTGGCCAGGAGAGCCCCTGGATCCAGGGGAGCTTTGGGGAGGGCATTCCCAGCAGGTCAGGGAGGGGATCCTGCTCCTCTGCTGAGCTCCAGGGAGGCTCATCTGGAGTGTCCTGTTCAGTTCTGGGCTCCACAGCTCAAGGAAGACCAGGAGCTACTGGAGAGGGTCCAGGGAAGGGCACAGAGATGGTTTGGGGTCTGGAGCATCTCTGGTGAGGAGAGGCTGTGGGAGCTGAGCCTGGTCAGTCTGGAGAGGGGAAGGGTGAGAGGGGATCCATCCATCCACCCAAA